TAAAAAAGGATGTGTGTGTGAAGATCTTGCACCTAATCTGCTTGTCATTTATGCTTGTAGTAATCCAAATGATGTCAAGAGAATGACACAGATGATAAGTTAATGTATCAGGCTCAACTTCCCTTTCAACCTCAATATGCAAAACATCCCTTTAAGAAGTCCACCCAGCTGTAGCCTCCACGAGAAACAGAAACCTGCAGATGTTTATAGGAATATCAATTAAGCTGAATGGAAGCTCTGCCATTAATGCTGGTGCATGTAAGATTAGACTTTGCAGATCTACCTGAACTCACGCAGTGGCTGAAGTGCACGTTTTCTCTGGGGTATTGAGGCCAGTGGGCTATATGCCATTAACAGGTAAGCATAATATGGATGGTATTTCCACAGTCTCATGGCTCAGGCGCAAGGACAAGGGCAGCATCCCCAGGCAGCGCCCTTGCCCATAGTGAGAAGAGGAGCAGCCAGGAATGCATAGAGTGAGTTCATGGACCACTCCCAGCACAGAAAAGATCCCGACCTACTGCCTGCCCTGCTTCAGGTAGTTTGAGCATCCCAAACAGAAAGCTGCCACTCCCTGTGTCCTGGGCATTTAATTCAATCCTTGGGTTACACTGCAAACTAAGGAGCTGACAAACAATATAGAAAACTGGTCTAGAAACTAGATGGCACAAGTCCCTCTAAGGAGGTTTGGCACCTGCTGACACTGAGTTTCCAGCAAATATGGCATAAGGTGGATGTGTGACTTGTTTTATGGCCCTGTTCATCCCTGTAAGTGTGAAAAATTTGCACGCCAAATAGGGAGATGGAAATAATCACTCATTCCACTCTTTTATTCCCTCCCCTGTTTTCTTTGAATCAAACCCTCAAAGAATGAAAATTCACAGAAAGGGAAATACAGGCTTACATCCTCTTTAGTCCCTAGTGCTATTTTATCCATTACTAAGGAAGCCAGGGAGGAGGAGGGGGGGAGAGGACTGGACATGCGTGCCTACTGCCCATGCAGTCCCAGCAAGATAGCATCAACAGTTGTTCTCTTATTTTCACAGTGGGAAATAAGCAGGTACTAGCTGTATTGGAATAATCAGGAGGAATCTAGGTCAAAATCAAAGCAAGACTGCTCTGTCCATCTCACAAAACTCACATGCAAACACAATGCCCATGTAAAAACAAAGAAGTTATTTGTAGCAGTTATTTCTGTTAGGATTGCTAAACAAGGGTGCAGACATTGGCCTACCTTGAGTAAAAGGCACTATTCCTTCTCTGTGACTTCTGAAAAGGCATTCAAAATCAATATAAAATTGCAATATTAGGAAATTTTATAATCATTATTTCAAAAAAGCAGACTTGAAAGGGTCTCTTGTTCATGGGTAAATCTCCAGTTAGTTTTTCTAGTACCGCTGGTTCAATCGAAAGATTCGCCAACTGCCCCCTGGAGAAAACTGAAGATCTGCATTTAAATGGAGATATAGTATTTCCAAATGCACGGTACCTGCAAGGCAGATACTGTCAAGGTTTCTTAGTGAGTGGATCTCAAATTGTATTAGGTACATTTCAGTGCCATGACTATCCTCATTTTGTAGGACTGGGCTATTTCCATATAATTTTTTTCCCTGTGTGTGGGCTTTGTAATATTTGTCCTGATAAGAAAAAATTAAACCCCCATCCCAACAAAGCACTCACATAGAAACAACAAGGAATTACAACCTTATGCATAATTTTCTGATGGGGATGATGAAGACTGTATTAGATGGCCTGACTGAAAATCTTAAATAATTGAAAACTCTGATGACTTAATAGAGTAGTGAGCTTGGTTTACAATGCAGCCAATTTAGAGCCATAAAAACACCGTGTAAAATGTTTATCTTGTGGTTGACCATTACATATCCTATTTATTATTCCAAAGTATTTCAACAGCATTTTTCTTCATCAATGTGGCTGCTGGCATTTAGCACCCACTCGCTAAATTCACGTGATTTTCCTGGAACAGCTTTAGGAAAAGAAAACAAAAAATTAGCAGATCACTACAAAACTGTTCCTTGTTACTATATGCCTCTTTTTCACATTCTGACTCGAACCGACTTCATGTGCTGCAAAATACATTTGAAACCACCGAGGCTAAAATACAATAAATCAAAGCCATATTCGTGAAGTTAAAAAGACTGGTGCAACTACTGATCCTGCCACATCAGAGAACCAAAAAAAAAATCAAACCTCATGAATACTTTGTTGCTAATGTACATGAGTTCAAAGAGCAGTGTTCCTCTTAGGAAAACATTTTAATTTTCATATCAGAAAATCATCCTAACCTTCCAGAAAAGTTTTTACGATTATGCAAGGAAGGCAGAGAGAAGGTTTAGAGTGCAAAAGACACTCGTGATGGTTTCAGACACGCAGGCATTAGTCCAGGCAGCCTCTCACTGAAATTCAGGTTGCAATTGAAATGTCCCTGTAAACAAGGTTACTGCGAACGGCCCAAGATATCCTTCTCAGCAGCACCTTCACCAGGAGCCCTTCAGCTGTCTACTTAGTTTGTTATACCTTATCTCACAGCCCTGACATCCTAATACTGATTCAAATTCGGGATTCAAAATGAAAGACGAAATATCTCTAAGATCACTTAATATTGAAATACCATTGCAGTAATAAGTGGTGCCAGGCTGGAGATACGGATATAGTACTCTAGTGGTAACCTTTTAATTTCTGACAAAATACTGTGGAATAAGTGCGATACTGCACAGACAGTTAATGCAATTGATTTGTTTTCCTTATTTTGATAATGAGCATGCTGAATGTCGTGTTTACCTTTTCCTGTCCCCGGCACATTTTTAAAGTCCTCTAAAAGGAGACTTGCCAGATTCCTGCACACACATGAAACACCTCGCAGCACGGAGCCCCCCTCCCCAGCATGCTGACACCCAGCTACCTTGATGCTCCCAAGACAAGGAAGATCATAACCACATGAGTCGCTTCGTCATTCTAAGTCTTTGACTATGTTCAGTGGAAATGCAATGCACGCACCATGTATAATCTAATGTAGGTTATATTGTAAACTACTCCCATTCTGAAAGTGAGGGTAGGCATGCTACACCAGAACATTTTGTCCTCTGAAATAAAACAGGGGAGTAACAATGAAATGTATCAAGCAAGTTTTATATGTTGTATTTTAAACAAGGTAGCTAATAAATGCCTTAAACTTTGGTGGGTTTTTACAAAGGGCACTTGGATTTCCCTCCCAGTCACAGACACTGATAGGCTGAAGCACGGGAGGAGGGGGGAGACAGGGGGGTTGTCATCTGTTTTTCTGTTGTGCTATGCTTACTGTTAGAATATCCTTAATAGTATCAAAAGATAGGATTCCAAAGGTAGGGGTGCAGTGGGACAGGGGTACAATATAGGGGAGGGAGAGAATTACAGGAGAGAAAGCCAAGCTGCTCAGTGCCTGCCTTCCCACACTACCATTCACCTTCATTTTTGTCTCCTTTATATTCTACTCATTTTTACTTGCCTCCCCCATTATTTAGTCATCTTTTAAATGCAGTCTTCTTTTTTCTGGGATCACGAAAAACATATTAACTAGAACCAGCAGACGGAGTGCATCCCCTGCAGCACTTCAAAATGTACCTCCAGACCAGTCATGCCTTCATGGCATGAATGACCAGGAGAAAATAAAAAATAAAATGAATTGTTTAAAAAATTGACAAAAGGGGAAAAAATTCCTCACTGCCAGGTCACACTCAGACCCTACAGGCTGCCACTTCCCCAAACGCCCCCTCCTCCCCTCCGCCGGCTCTGGGAGGGCCAAGTGCCAGGAGGAGCGGGCAGTGTGCGGACTTTGCACACTTTTCCTTCGCCCCTCCTGATCCCGGCGGCGCGGCCCCGCCGCCGCTGTGTGCGCGCGTCCGCCCGCGGCTCCGACACCCCGGCGCGGAGCGCGTCCCGCGTGGGGCGGCCACGCCGCCGCTCCCGCCGGGCAGGGCAGCGCCCCGACCCCCGCCCGGCGGGCAGTGCTCCCCCGGGCCTGCTCCGCTGCCGCCCGCACAAGTGTTCCAGGAAGGAGCGAGCGGCCGGGGGAGGGATGGGGACGAGGACGGGCCCCCCCCGCCGGCCTCGCCCCGCGCCGCAGCCGGGACACTCCGGGCTCCGGGAGGGCACGGCGGGCCGGGGGGGGCAGGGCGGCACGGGCAGCCGCGCCACAGCCACGCGTGCCCCGGCACGGTCCGCTCCCCCTGCTCCGCTCGCAGCCACCCCGGGACCCCCGGCCCTAAACTCTTGCTTGGCTAAAGCCTCGTCACTTTCCCGGCACTCCTGACCCTGGGCGGGAGGGGGACACACACACACACACAAAACCTGCGGGGTAGCATCTGTCAGCAGCCAAAAAATCATTATCCTTCCTTTTTTCCCCTCACCCCCCACCCCCCCACCCCACCCCCCCATATTCACCAAGGCCAGTAATTTTAAATAATTGTCCGAGAGGCGAGAGCCACTGAACCCCGGGTGGCCGGTGCTGTCGTGCCGCTTTTTCCAAAGCTGGATTTTTTTTGGGGTGAATGACTCTGAGCAAGTGCAATTGGCAAGGGCTGAAGATGGAATGGGGCGGGGGGGGTGGGGGGGTAGAGCGCTCCTGGCAGCGGCTCATCTCCAAGCACAAACATGCCCCCCATGCAATGTCAGCTGGCAGGGGTGCGGGGGGGTGCGGGGTGCGGGGGCTCGCTTTACCTGGTCAGCTCAGAACCGCAGGCAGGTTAATCAGGTGAGTCGTCGGGGATTTTAAAGAAGCCGAAGCCGGTTTCTTTGCTAGGAAAGTCTACAACACCATGCAGGGACATTGCAAAATCTTTACACACGCCTCCTTTAACTGGGCTCCCGCGACCTCCGCCGGCGAGGGGGGAGCCACCGGCGGGCGGGAGGCCGAGCGGCGCCGCGGTGGCGGCGCGGGGGGCGCGGGGGGCAGCGGCGGCGGCGGGCGCGGCCCGGCGGGCGGAGAGCGGCGGCGGGCGGGCGGCGGCGGCCCCGGCCCCGCGGCCCCGGCCCCGGCAGCGTCCCCGCGCCTCCCTGCCGCCTTGGTAGCGCCGGTCCGCACTCGGCCTGACCCGGGACGTCACGGCGCCTGCCTGTGTTCCCAATGATAACTTGGCAGGAGCAGGGGGAAGCGGCCGGGTTTTTCCTGGGCTCGTTACCGGGTACGTGCACGTTTCTTTCGCATGCGGATTTTTTTTTTTTTTTAATTTTTCGGTTTTTTTAAGGCGCAGTAACGAAAAGCCAGGACAGGAAATCCGGGGCGCGGCGGGGGCTGCCGCCCCGCGATGGTGGCGGCCGCTCGCCGGCGGGCGCGGGGGAGCGGCGGCGCGGGGCGCAGGCATGCGTTCATCTCCGTGTCTTTCATTTTACCTTCAGGGTGACATTCAGTGCCGGGCGAGCCTCGCCGGTCACCGCCACGTCCCACCTGGAAAAAACACAAACAAAACCACGGAAAAAAAAAAAACAAAAAAACAACCCACCCAAACCAACAAGAACAACAGCACCAAAAAAAAAAGGCGACTGCCGAAAAGGGGGGATGGGGATAGGGAAGGTGCCGGCTGCCTAGGATGCGGGCGGCGGACGGGACACCTCGCCCAGGGGACGCGGGGACACACGGCTGCCAGCAGGCCATGTGCCGAGCGGCCGGCGGGGGCGGGGAAACGGGCACCGCACACACTGAATCAGTAAATTAAAAAAAAAATAAAAAAAATAAAGCGCCCGGAATGCCAGAGGAGGCCGGGCGAGGAGCGAGGATGCCGCACCGCTGCTGCCGTGCAGGCCCGGCGCCGCGCCCGCCCGTTCCCTGCAAGGCTCTGCAGGGGAAGGCGGGGGAGCCCCCGGCGCACAGCGCCCCGCGGCCCCGCCGGGATGCCCGGGGGGGCTGCGGCCGGGCAGCCCGGGCCGCGCCGGGGCACCCGGCGGCGCAATGGCCGCCGAGGAGAGCCAAGGGCTGGCGCAGAGCCTGGCGCGGCTCGGGGATGGGAGCCGGAGCCTTCGCTGCGCACCGCTGGGGCAGCAGAGCAGTGCTCCCGAGAGCCGGAGGGTTTGCGTTAGAGCAGGGCGAGCCGCGGCCTGCGGCAGCCCCGGGGCCGCCCTGAGCGCCGGGCGGGCTGGCAGCGCCGTGCCCGGCCATGGCAGCAGCCACACGCGGCCGCTGCCCCGGGTTCGTGTGCTTTGCAAAGCCGGGTCCTGCACATCTCCATCAACGCTCCCACTAAATTCCGAGGGCATTTTCACGTGGGAGACTTAACTCGCCTGCAAAAGTATTCCCAGAACTAGGCCTCGCTTAAGCTATCCATGGCAGCTTAAGTGCCTTCTCATCTAGAATCCAGTTGTTACCCACACATTGCATCCCAAACTGCTGCAGCACCACACCACCTACTCTGTGACCGCAGAGCGTCCCAGCAGAGCCCTGAGACAAGTTTCCCTCTTCTGTGTTGCTTTTCTCACCGCCTATTATAATAACAAGTTACAACATCGCCAGTGCACAGGTAACTAGCACAGCGGAGTCCGTGAAAGGATGCATGTAGCAGGGCTGAAACTGACTTTTTTTTTTTTCTTTGCAACTGCCTCTGTTCAGCCTTAATGTTAGCATTAATACTTTCATTAACACTTTTCATTAATACTTTTCCTCATTTAAATACACTAAAAGGGAAAATTGCTTTTGCTTAATATTGTTACTACTCAGGTTTTGCAATTCCAGTTTTTATAAGGCGATAAAGTCAGGGAGAAGTTAGTGTACACCTTTTCTGTTGCTGGACTCAGTGCCCTCAGAGCAGCTATGGTGAGATCATGCATTGCAGCTGGGAAAAGAGTTGGGGAAGAAAGAAATAATTATTGGAATGTCATACAGCCCAAGCGTCATTTTCAGAAGCCTGAAATTGAAAGCGCTGGGTTGTGTTTTTTTTTCTTTTTAAACCCAAGCTACTCAGGAGGCTTTCTGGCTTAGCTAGAAAGACAAGTTTGCTACAAGTTTCTGTTCTGGAATAATTTTGAACTGCTTTTAGTCTAAATTCTTACCTGTCTCTACTGTCTCAGCAGAGTACATTACTGATATATGATTTTGGTAGACTTGAACAGCGGTGTGTACAGCTTGATTGTTGTCTGTATTTCACCATTCATTTTTAAGTGAGGCTCTTTTGATTGATGTAAGGAATTTGTTTGAAAGGATGAAGGGTATGGCATAGCTACCCAAGATGCTACTTAAAATTACACCATACCTCAGCTAACAGAGATTTTTCATTGTGATTGTCACACTTTTAAAAGTGCATGAGTTAATCCAATTGCTATTTTTGGAATGCACTTAAAGGAACATTAAAACACATTAATTTCGTTAAAATAAATGAGCGAATAGGTAACAAAACAAGTATCAGCCAAATAAGCAAGATCTCAACTACGGAGCCAAATCCAGCCCTAGTGAAATCATCTGAGTTGTGCTTGTCTACAGCACATTTAATTTGGCTTCTGCAGTCACACAGCTGACGCTTTATTTGGTTTTCAGAGGTGTGTATATTAAAAATGTGCGATCCATGCTAATTCTCCAGTGTGATTAACCACTGAAATTAAATTCACCTGGTTCCCATTCAGCTCTGCTGTGCAGTCCTATCACACATGCAGTTTTTGGTGTGCATACACACCTGAGATGCAGAGAGGTATTCCCAGCCCCTGTGTCAGTCTAAGGGATGAGAGTTGTGTCTGAAGTGAGGGTGTGCTGAGGTGGATTTCAGCAGAGCCCATTCACAACCAGCTGCATACATATGCTCCAGTTAATGGGCTGTACTGGAGTCTGTGCTACCATCTTTCATTACAGCTGCTACTCATGCCAGTGAGAGTAAAGGAAGGGTTGGTGTGTTTGTAATCACATATTAATTTGCTATGTAGATATATCCTAAGAACCTCTCAGCCCAGGAAAATTATACTGGAATAAGGTCGGATGTGAATGTAAAGCAGAACTGTGTTCAGATAGTTTATGCATTCTGGAATGACCGAGTTGTTTCCTGGTTTCACTTAATCCACTTTCAAAGTGGATTAAGGTAATTCAAGAAACTGAATTCTTACACTGGCATAAGAGTTGTCTACACATGGGTTTAGTCGAACGTAATTACTGCAGTGTACCTAATAAGAGTCTTGAAATAACTTGGTGTGTAGACAAGTCCAGAGTCCCACAGGTGAAAACAAGAGAATTTAGTCATTTTGTATAACATGAGGTTAATTTAGCCCAACATTTGACCTACTTCTTTTCTCATGAAGCATATTTAATTCATTACAGGTTTTTCTTCCTCTGTGAAATCCCCACAACAGAAATGTATTATGATCAGTTTCAAGATAGCAATGCCACGTGCACTCCACTAAAAATAAACAATTTAAGCAGTGTATACTCTAAATACCTTCTCAACTGCCCTAAAGAGGAAAAAAGGTTCTTTACTGGAAGAAATACCGGCTTCTCAAGCGTAAATATTTTGAGTGGGTTGTTCCAAACAAAAGGTAAACAAACCCCAAAGCTTTGCTCTGCCCTCTGAGACACCCATGATCCATTTGACTGCATTCCATTCATAGCAATAGCACCCAGTCTGACTCAGCAATATTAGTTCCTGAATGAGGAACCTCACAGACTCACACAGAAGGGTTGGCAGAACAAGAGGGCCTTCAGGAGGCACCTTAAGAATAGAGAACTAATTTATCATTTCTTTACAAAGGTCTAAATCAGGGAGAACCTACATGAACCACAGGCAGCCTCTCTGCCTCTGCTCTGACTCAGGTGTATTGCACCACTGGCATACAGGAAAGTGAACTGATACTGAGAACATACAAGATGTTTTGTGACTTTGTACCAAGCACAAAGTTTGTCAAATGTCATTCAGTGTCATTCCATGCCACAGACATCCCTAGAAGAGAGGTGACTCTCTAATGTGAATGAAGTCTCCTAAACGTTAAACTTCAGACTGTTTGTTAGTTTTTGTCAGAGGCGGGGGCGGGGGGGGGGGGGGGGGAATGTAACCAAACAAAAACTAGATGAGGTAGAAATTATGTAAACTCAGGTAGTAAATAAGCCAATTTTTTGAAAGAAGCATAAATATAAAAGCCAAATGATACAAATTGCTGATCCTTTAAACATTGACATAGGAAAGCTGATCCTTTAAACATTGACATTAAAAGCTATGAAGATGAAAAAAATCCAACTTCTACTTTGTGCCAAAGACCGCAATGTGTCACACATTGCAGAGGGTAACCTGGAGTCTTCCCTTACACAGATAAGGTAGTCCCAGCTACTCTGTGTAACAGGCAAGGATTCACATTTTGTGATGATCAGCATGGCTTTGCCCTCCTGTGCTTGTCTTGGTTAGGGATATAGAAACTGGATTTCACCTACAACTCCCTCATGCCAAGCCTGTTTATTTAAGTAAAAATAATTACTCTGGTAACAAAATAAGCATTAACTGAAGAAGGTAAATGTGGAGAAACATAAACAAGAAATCAAGTACTTAAATTCTGTGGTGCTGAATGACTTTGACCATGGGTCTTGATATTAAGGCTCAAATACTAAGCCTGGTATTAAACTCAGATTGAATGCAATGAGAGTTTTATAAGAGCATGCCTGATCTGAAATCCTGCTTGAATAAAAAATAATGGATGGGGTTATTGTACACTCTGCTTCCACTGAGAGGTCTCTGAGCATTAGATCCACCTGCAGTGCTGGGGTATCCTGGCACTCCCCCACTCCTGTCATTACAGGGGCACTACTCATCCAGAGAGGAAGATGTCCTAAATCCCAAGACGATTGGCACAACACACGCAAGAGGAAATCTCAGCGCGCAGCCAATGCCAGGCAATGAAGGATCCTCTGTGGGAGTTGGTTAGTAGTGCCAATGTTTGATATTTGTCGTAACAACCACCGACTGTTTTGTTTTTTGTTCTAACAATGTGAATTATTCATTAAACATTAATACAAGTGAGTGTACTTTCTTTTGATCTTCAAGCATAATCATTTCTAATGAGAGCTTATACATGAGCATTGAAACAAATCCCTGAGTCATGTGAATTTACATTGGTTTTACTCTGTGGGAAAGATCCCACATGAGTTACTCATGTCTGTAAAACATAACATACTTAGAAGAAAAAAATGAGCTTGCATTTGTCTGTTGGAACATAAATATCTGCGTAGACATTTGGCTTGTGCTCTAGCAGTAATGAAACATTAAAAAGTTAATTTATCAGAGATCAGGATTCAGGGTGGAGCCCTCAACTAATGTGAGATCCAAGTTTGCTCAGAATAAGCTCACCTCTTAGTCTCTCCCATCTGGCTTCTTAGAAGAGTTGAGTCTAGTATCAGAGGAATTTGAACTAGCTCTAAATAAAGGGATGAGAATCTGGCTTGCTTGATAGAGATAAAAGTTGCCAAACTCCCATCACCAAGCTATAATATGCCAATCCATGGCAGGCAAACTGTGCAGTGTTAAGTGGCACCTCTCCAAATGCCCTTGACAGCCAGTGCAGGCCAGACCCACTGTAGAACCTGCTTGGCCATGTTTAATATCTGCACTTCTTAAAACAACAGTAACAAATGGTACATTCCATAAAAACATAAACACTATGGATTGTGCAACTGCCAAGACAGTTATTTAAAATGCAAACAGAATTTAAGCCCTTTCCCCTTTGACACACTGCACAAATATTAAACCAACAAGCGATTAACAGTCTGAACTTCAGCAGCCGTGCTGCGTGTGCAAGGGACAGGCAGCACACTGGGGAAAGTACGGGATGGACCCCATTCCTGGGGCTGCAGGTCCTCACTACAAGATTTCCAGAATGCTTCTTGCCTTTCCAAACAGACCTCAATGCCGAAGGTTGCAGGAGGTGGCTGTCAAGAAGATATTATGTTTAATGGCAGATAGGCGCTATCTATGATTAAGGTCATATCTCAGGAATTCTCAAAAGCCCATTAATGTATTTTATTCTTAATGTGTAAGTGCTAAAGGAGTCCTGGAAGCCAGAAATCCAGGATTACCCCACATAATTCAATGTTTTCACAGGAGGCTACAGTCATGCTTTCTGCTGCTTCCCTTCTCTTGCCTGAATAACCTTAAATGCTGATGGTACATCTTCAAAAGGAGAGTGCAAGCAGCCTATGCATAGAATAGTTTATAAACTGGAAGAAGAGCAAACACAAAACCCTTCATCCTTGAACTTGAATTCTGCAAGTGCTCTGTTTTATATAATGACAGAGGAACTGATACTATTGCAGTAGTGAAGAAAGCACCCCAGACACTCCATTATGGAACCCCAACACTGTATTAATTATTTTCCCTGAGGTTGCACAACTTCACCTGGCATGTAAAGTTAAAAGATGGATAGGTCAATATTGGGTATTTAATAATTTTGGATAGAAGGACCTCAGCTCCATCTAGACCCTGCTTGAAGCCCATTGACATTATCCAGCTTAAAAAGTTTGGTGAGTGTCCTGACTTTTCAGAATGCGTCAGTACATCCCCAGGCACACACAAAGAGCTGTGTTTGCAAAGATGGGATAGATACAAGCAGCAAATGGTACACAGAAGCATGTAGGGAGACCTCTCTAAGCATCAGCCACGATGACAAAGTGTGCTGGCCCATGGGTTCCCAGGCTGTATTCACAGCCCTGGAATGCCTGCTGGAAACACTCCCCTGTAATTTAGCTCATTTGGTGTGCATTAAGGATGCTCATTTCTAGACCCCTAAGTGAAATGTGATACTGAACTCATTCTTCCTCTTACACCAGCAGGCCTCAGCAGATGGCCAAGAGGCTGATGGGAAGGAGAGAACACCAGTTTTAATCCAGTTGTTCATAATGGAAAATGATGAGAAAAGTGAAAAGATCTTATTCTGCAGACCAAGGCATTTACTTATATTTAACTGCGTAACCTCAGTCAGACCCCTGAATTCCATTACTCTATGTGAATGTTATGGTATGGTGAAGTCTTATTTGGTAATTACCTGGTCAGAGCCACAGACTAGAAACAAGATATGCAGCCAGTGAAAGGCCAGTGGAGTCATACCAGTTTATATTAGCTGAGAACCCAATTGTCAATTTCAAATTAAAAAATTGAGAAGTTGCATTTTTCCATGGCATTTTGGTCACATTATAGAGGAGAAAAAAAAAAAAAAAGAAAAGAAAAAATAAAGTTGTAGCTATTTATATAACCAGGACAGAAACAGAACCAATGTGAAATCTTTAGCAATGGAATTCTACATCCAAATTATTAGGTATTTCAATGTTGGTGCCATTTGGATTACTGCTTAACTTTAGGGCAGCGAGGTAAGCTCATTTTCTTGCCTCTGTCTTTTCAGCCACCATTAGGGCTGCAACCTTCCCATCCTCCAGGGAGAGGGAGAGAAGTTACACAATAGGTGTTTTTCTATGGGCGGATGTTTAAATGTGGAGGGAAACAATTGAATTTTAATGACAATTTTGAGACTCTTGAAGTTAATTTCTGGGCAGTGCAGAAATTAGTGGGGCTTGCTGCTGCCAAGAGCTGCATGGTCTCCTCTCCTTCTGATGTTAGCAGGATTACAGGTCTCAGCTTTTGGCAGAAATAACTCCCAAAATAGTAGGGTCCTTCTCTCTTGCCTTCTCCCAAAAGGGAGAGCAAGAGACCTGCTGCTGTCAGACCCAACCAAGAGCCACAGCAGAGCAATGGCTACAAAAAAACAGGGTAACTGCACCAGATTTACCTACCAGAGATGTGTTCTCATTAGGTATATACAGCACAGGAGCATTATCCAGGGTGGAATGGTAAATTTGTTAGGTGCTGCACAAAACATTTAACCGGAAAAAGTTCCTCCATCCAAAAGCACTACAAAATTGATTGAGGAAGGAGAGTGGCAAACAATGGGATATCCTGGGAAAAAAAAGTACACCAGTGATTACAGCAAAGGCAGCCAGCTATGAAGGCTTTTCCTACACACAGGGTAACAATAATTCTGCCAAGGAGGCAAGTTATTTCCTTTTTAGCTGTGCTATTTCCACTGCATTACTGAATCATGGTTTGTTAATGGCTTACAAACATTAAGTTTAAAAAGCTTTAGGAATTTTGTCATACCTAACACAATATGTACCAATTTATCAATTTCTATAAAAATACATAATCCAATTGGTTTTGGGTTGTCAGAGTGGTTTTTTTTAATGCTTTTAATAAAGAAGGGGTAATTTTGGTCTTGTTTTGTCTTAGAAGATTCAGAAAGGAATATAACGGGTAGTCCCAGATTCTTTATGTATCTTAATTGTAGATGGCAAAGTAGAAAATAAAAGATGCTTCAAAATAGTGCCAGTCATTTAATCTGCTCTGTAGTTGGATGATAGAGTGTCAAGCATTTTCACCAAAAGCACGAGACTCACTACAGAGGACTGTCTTTTCAATCTTGGGCTATGCAATTATAGCCCCAAACAGGTCATGGAACGGATCAGCCTTCCCAATGTTACCCCTCTGGTCAGATGGCAGCTCCAGCCAAAAAAAAAAAAAGTAGAAAAGAGGACAGCCATAGCCACCTGGCACTGCCTTTTTGCACAGCAAAAAGCAGGCAGGGGAGGAGGGACCTGGTACCCAGCCAGGTGTGGCAGGACTTACAAGCCAGGCTGCCAAGCTGGAGCTTATCCTCTGAATGGGATTCTGCAGGGGAGGGCACGGAGAAGGTAACATTGGGGAACTGCTTCCCTTGCAAAAATCTGTGTCCCCATTTACCCTCTCCCATGAGATGGCCAAACATGCTTCTTATTGGCAGAAAATGTTCAGCCTAGTATTGAGTATGTTACTGTGTCCACCAGCACGCTTCACAATGTACATAAAACATCATTCAGTTACAGGAGAACTAAAAGAAGCATTAGGGAGACTGACACTACTGACTGATAGCAAACCACTTTCTCCTAACACTTTTTTTTATATACTGTACCCAGAGTTTAGCTGTGTCCATTATTTTCTTTAACTCTCATTTCTGCAAAGGTGATTTTACTTAGATCAAATTTTTGCACTGTACTACTGGATCCTATGGTACAGTTCACTGCTCTAGAACAATTTCACTCATTTAGAAACCCCACCATAATGTTTTGCCATTGGATTTCTGCTGAGAAGTAGAGGCACTAGCTCACAAACACCCCTTCCAAGTCCTTACTGAGCCTTCCCAAGAATCTGTGTTACACTTACCAGCCTTGCACACACAGCTAAGTCCATGTGCCCCTGCTCTGAACCCCTGGGACATGGGTGCTCGGTTAAGACTACAGAGAAAGGAAAAGCATGGCTATGGTCAATCATTTTAATGGCTGTTAATGTAAAAACATATTCCTAACATTCCTAACCTTACTTATCAGCCAGATATATGTTAGGAGACCTGGTTTTGTGTGAACCAATTTCTTTTTTCTTTTTAACTCTTTTGTATGAACGATGATTTTTGAGAGATTGGTGTAGTAATGTTCAGTTGTTATGAGACTGCTGCTTCACATTTCTACCTGTGCAGATGGGGCATCACATTTCTGTCTAAGTTACCAAGACCATTCAGAGTTAACATCCAGAAACAGTTTCCTCTATTCCAGCATTAGTTGCCACTTCTCAGGACAATTATTTAGGTACAAGTCCAATAGAAATGGCCCTTCACTAATTTCCACTGCAGCTCAGGTTTTCTGCCTCAGCTTTTATGCTGCTGTGAGCATGTACAAAATGGGATTCTAGTTTTTGTCCCCCTGCCCTCAGTCCAAGAAGTGCTATGCAAGAATAATTCTTTCTGATTTCACATAATTCTGATCTCGCACTTAGAAATACAGGAATTAATAGCCAAGAAGTTCTTTGGGTACTGGAAAGATTAACAAGTCTTTCAATCTTCTTACAGGTGACCACAAGGTACAAGCTTTATAGACATTTGATGAATGAAGGGTTGCCACTAAATGAAAGCCACTATCACAAAGCTCTAGAGGAAATCGTTGCAACAAGGTTTTAGGAGTTTGTGAAGGCACCGTGAAATGAGCACACTTTATGAGGCTACAGTGTGTGTGTAGAAGGTATATACAACCTGCTCTGTATTCCTAAAATGATCACCAACATATCATTGGGAACTTGGGCTTCTGAGAGTCATTTCTCTCTCTGTGCCTCAGTTCCCTTATATGAAAGTCAGGATTATGTCTTTGGTGCCCTTTGGATGAACAGAACAAGTTCACCTTCTAAATGTCAAGTGTTAGAATCCATCACAGGTTTACCACATCTTTTCTATCTGACCATTTAAAACTATTAATATCAAAATAAGCCACTCAAAAATTAGTAAAGATTACAGAAGTCCCAGACTGTGGAACATGAATCTCAGCAATTTCAATGGATGTGATGCCAGCCTCAGAGAGAAGATTAGCTTCAATGTGATTGGAAAGATCCCAGAACTCCAGTGACAAATAATTTCTTCTGTATTTTCTGTTAGTTCAGGAAAGATCTATGCCAGTCCCAACACAGTCTCTCAGCTATTGTTTCCCCCGACTTTGAGTATTTCCCTATGAATGCTGTTTTCTACCTAACAAACTATCAAAAAAAAACCTTCAGACCCTGGCATTCTATGGTCAAATTTATTGTGTTTTCCCTCTTAAACAATTTTTGTTTTGAAATATTGATGAAAAAATATTTGCCAGGTAATCAGTAAAGGGTCTGAGGTATAATCCAGTCATTATAGTCACTCTCCCTTACATGGGTTTACTACAAGTAATCATTTTTCACATAAATGCAATTATGCTTAAGGAAGGTTAAATGCTACATTTTCAGTATTTTCTTTCTTCTACCAAGACAGATAATGCTGGATGCATAAAGTTCCTCTTTTATGTGTCACTTCCTTTAAAGCAAATTTGTCCCCTTGAGTAAATTTTTCCTTGGCTGTAATGTGATACACACACACACATCTTTATTTGTCATAGATATCTACATTTATCTATCACACTTACTCCACTGCAAGATGTGATTACAGATTTGAAAAAGAAAAACAAAAAGGACAAATTTCTCTATTCAGTGTTTAAGAGAAGTTGGTATCACTGAATTTAGAAATGTAAATTCCTTTTTTTTTTTTTTTCACCTGAATACACCACCCACCCCAGTAGCACCTGATATCAATAGCAGTTCATGTATGTGTGCAGCTCCAAAATCTTTTGATATCCAGGTGCCACTGAAAACCATCACTGGATTACAGTATTTTTTCTGACGTATGTAAAAGATTCAGTCAGCCTAAAAGTACTCAACAATTTCTACAAAGACGTGTTATGAAGAAGTCCAAGAGTCTTTTGAAAAAGGAGGAGTCACTACCCTGTATTATCCTACTAAAATGCATACTACTTCCAACATTTTTCTAGTAGGCAAGATGAATATGGAGGGAGGAGGGAAGAAAATTATTCTGAGAAAATTCAAATTAGAAAGAGAAAAAAAAATCTTATTTATAGTTTAGAGATCTGTGCTATTTAAATTCCTCACTTAAAGAACTATTTAAAATTATATATTGTAAGCCTATTGCAGATATCTTGCTCTTCTTGTGTGAATACAAAAATATGAAAGAATAAAGTAAAAAATATATTAAATAGTGATTTAATTTATTCAGAAAGCATTGAGTGACAAGCATCTGCATGGAATTATATAGCTCAGTTCTACTTGAAAATTCTCCTAACTGGAAGAAAATGTGCAAGTTCCTCATCCATTTTAACAGCCGTCATAAATGGATGTTAAACTTAGCAGCAACAGTTCATTGGCAGCTTCCCAAGACTGGCATCAATGTAAGAATTTTGTTTGATATGAATGAAAAAAAAATCATTGTTAATGCTGTATTTGAATGAAGGTTTGAAATAGTTAAATGCAAAACACCAAAGATGCCACTCACGGGCATGATAACTATTTTGGGAGAGAGGGAGGAGGGCAAACTTCCCACTGCATGATGAAAAATATGAAAATATTAAGTAGAAATATTTGAAGAAATTAAGGCCTGGAACTACAGCTTTCAACAAAGACGATGATGCCAGTTCTGTGTATTCCTGCACAAGAAAACCAAACTGATGGCTGGGATTTCTCAGCATTTCCACAACCCAAACAGTAAGAGGAAGCTGTTCAAAGTCAAAAGAGTTTCAGTGTTAACTGCAATGAAAACAGACCAGAGCCTTTATCTTAATCAGTTACTTAGAATGAACTGACACTATCATCTTTTCTCCCTCTGTGCTTAGAGCCAGAGCCACTTACACGTTACTGATGTATTTTCCAAGTCCCACACATGGGCAATAACATGCAATTCTTGCAAGTACTTTGAGGGAAGGGATTGTCTGTATTTTGCCAGTGCTGTACTTCAGGGTCATGAGTCACTAAGAAAATATGGAGAAATATTTGGTTTTGTGCTTTGAATAAGAAGTCTTTTGTGACAGAATATAAAAGTGGGGAAGTAGTTTCTAAGTTTATTATTACTAGTCTGTTAAGAATGAGAAACTTTGAAACAGTTGAAATACTTAGATGGAAACACGCCATTATCTACAGCATTTTCTGCAAATGTTCAGTCAACATCCTAATTGTACTGATGTACATACATCCTGTATGATGAAATGAGCTCCAGCTTTCTCCATACGTGACATAGCAGTAAGAAAAAAGAGAAAATCTAAATGCTATTTATTCAGCAACTGAATCTTAGCCAAAATGAACTACTATTTACTATGGTCAGTGGTCATTTTACACATATAGTAAGCATATAAGGCATTTGTAACATTTGAAAGCCCGAGATTTGCATTATCCTATAGGCTAATCTAATTTTATTAGGTATATACTGACATTAAAGATTGGCATTTACAAGAAAAAAAAAATAGTTCTGTTAAGGCTAGGATAAGCAAATAATAGAAAATAAATACAATATTAAAGTTGCCAATGCTCTATTCTCAACAAAATTCTTACAGTTATCTGCTCTTCTTTCCTTTCTAGCAACATGTAATTCTCTGCAGGGATGTCAAGGGGACCATTCTCTCAATTTTCTTAGCAAGCCAACATCTGCTAAATGCAGCACGACATGCTGTTTACCTTTGTGGTAAACTTGAGGCTTTTCCATTTAAGAACTGTATAAATGAATCAGTATTCATTCACACCTATGCCCAGAAGTATCCATTACAAAGCAGAGAGTGCTCATTTTTAATCTCCTCCTTATTCTGATTTTATGCCATATTTCTCTGCACTGATGCTGTTTGGAATTACCCTAGATATATTAACAAATGCAAGGAAAGTAAAGCCATAAACAGTGGTAATTTTCCCCTCATTTTCTGTAAGTATTTCTTGACAGACAAAGGTGATAAAAAAGCAGAGGTAAAAGGTCTTGCCTTACATCTCCTTTAAACTCAGTAGTTTAACAAATTGCTACAAAAGAGAAGTTTTGTCCTCTGCTCCAAAAACCAAGATGACAAAATCTCAAGCTATATATTTAGATTTGCCTTCTAAAATCCTGTGCAATATTTAGTAACTTGTATTCGATGGCATAATTTCCAAGGGAAATAGTAGGGGGTTGTCTGTTTTGTTTTGATTTTTTTTAAATGTATATACATTTCTCATCTGCTGAAAGGAAATCTACCTGCATCAGCAAAAAGCACAGGTGAAAAGACTAATTAACATGAAAAAATGCAACCACCCTTTCTTTAGAGAATGCTTTTGAACCAGAAAGTAATTTTTCCCATGCTGCAGAAGCCCTCTGTTTGAACGAGCACCCACTAACATCACCTGTCCCTCTAATTGTCATCATTACTGAGACCGAAGCAGCCTTTGTTGATCACACACAGCATTCTCTAAAATCCATTTTTCCAATTAGGTTTTTATTTTCTTTCTCATCCGTCTGCTTTTATTTAGTTTTGGGCACAATTACAGTGGTACTTGGGTTAACTTGTGGCAGTAAGATGTTTGCAGGAGCTGTTGCTCACAGTAATGTTGGCTATTACTGATTACAGCATAGCTCAAGGCAGATTCCTTGTTCTAAATGGCACTGAACATTTTTACCTGAATATTGCAACACCACATTATGAGCACTGGGATATAAACAGAACAGTAAGCAATGCTGCTGGCCTCTGGATTTAAGCAATAAGCCAGAAGACTTGTGTGTGAGACACAGATAGAAAATCGAGCTACCACCAAAGTATCTGATGAAATATCTCTATCTTTCTCTAATTTGCTAGTAGCCAATTATTACATTCAACTCTGAATCACGGTCCTAAATAATAAAGGTCAAAGTTTTCATGGACATTTTCTGTGTTTGAGTTGCCACCTTGAAATAGCTGAAGCTGTGTTTTACAGTTGCAAGATTCCCAAATTTCGCAAATTGTATGTCCTCAACATCACAAAAAACAAAGCCTCCCATCACCTCAAATCAAACCTCATTTCATTAGAAAAATAGGTTTAACCTCTGCCAAAAGGAGGGGCTGATCCCTATAAGTATATTTGCATTTAAAAAATCCCAGTCTAGAACATTTGCTTAGACAACCCAAATCTTATCTCACTTCATTTCTCAACTTTGTTGAACACTAGAAAAAAAGTTTTACAAATTCTGGAAATATAGCACATCATAATAAACATTTGTGGCACTTTTATGTAGTACAAAACTACTGCAAATATAATATTTTCTTAAATAATTTTATAGGATCTCTACCTATGTAAAAACAGGAAATATTTGTGGACATTCTCATGATTACAAGAATTAGATTCATGCAGCTTTTCAGCAAATGCTGAAGTGCTACAATCATCCATGATATCCTCGGATATAAAGGTGGGAGCACGGCAGCACAGTTAGGGAAGCCTGCTGGAGTTGAGGATGCTGACCTGGCTCTGTCTGTAACCTGCTGTGACCTACTCCAGTGCACCATATCAAAACTTCCTTTCTCACATCAGCTTTCCTAATAACTAGCTCACCCAAATAAAGTGTTTTCCTACTTTCATGTATCGGGAGGAGAGGTAAGAACCCTGTCATAACAGATATTTGTGAAGTTATTTGGAATTTCTTCCAAGTGCCGAGCAAAATAAGCTTGTAGTTCTCTAATATTTAATAATGATTAGTAAAGAGGGGATAAGACTGCTCCACATTGTACCAAATAAAGGAGTTTTCCTTTTCCAAGGAAGTTTTAGTATTATTGTCACTACTAATCATGCTGCGATCTCCCATTAACCACACTAAACCTGTCTTTTAAGCTATGATGCTGCTCTGTGAAGACAGTCCATCTGCTTTGAAATTAAGCCCAAACTTTTTTAACTCCTGACAACACTTTACCAAAGCCCTAGCAAGCAAACACGAAAAATAGCAAAAAGAAAGTGACGGAGACAAAGCCATCCTAAGATTATGCATCTCAAACCAATATGTGTGCCCTAAAATCTAACATTCAGAAAACCTTCATCTCTGTTACCTACTGCTTCATCTCATTACCACATGTTCACCAAATACTATTATTTTCCTCCCTTTCACACCAGAGAGGACATCAGTTCCCCAATATGCGTTTAAATGGCGAAGGGGGTGTCCGGTCCCTTGGTGCTGTGATGCCAAGGAGGAGCCTCTTCTGCCTCGGCATCACTGCGAGCACGGCCCGGCTCCAGCACCCCGCACCGACCCCTTGGCAAGCAGACAACGCGGCGGGATTTGGGGAATAGCTCTTAGCCCTGGGAAGGGACCCCCATCCTCTTTCCTTGCTCAGACACCCACTAAATGTAATTCCTCAGCTTTCGGCAACTTCGCAACGCACCAGCAACTCCCCTGGAAACTTCGAGAAGAAGAACAAAGGGGCAAAGAACAAAGAGCTGGGGAGGGGTAGGAAGGGGAGGGGAGGGGGAACTCTCTGCTTTCGGGTCAGGCCGGAGACTCTCCCCTCCGGCCGCCCAGGGTCAGCCCTGCCCGCCCGCCACGGAGCCCCGGCCCCGGCGGCTGCTGAGCGGGGACGCCCCGGGCTGGCCGTGGGCGCCCACCCGGGCTGGCTGTGGGTTCCCACCCGGGCTGGCCGTGGGTTCCCACCCGGGCTCCGAGCCCCCACACGGACCCTACCGGGGCTTGCTCGGGGTCTGGCTGGTGCCCGACCGCGCAGCGCCCGCTCCTGCCGTGCTCCCAGCGATGAGATAAGCGAGGGGACGCTGCCCCGCTACCCCCGCGCCTTCCTGGCCGCACAGCCCCCTCCCAACGAGGGCCGCGCCGAGCATCCCCCGCAGCATCCCCCGCAGCATCCCCCGCATCATCCCCGCAGGGCCGGAGGAGACCCGTTCCCCGGGAGAGCAACACGTGTCCACCTCACAGCCGCGGTCCCAGAGCCGGGGCCGCTCCGTGGGAGGGCTTGAGGGGCTTTTGGGGCAGCTTGAAGACAGCGAGCAAGAAGAAGCCGAGGCGAAGCAGCCGTCCCGTTTCGCTGCGGCAGTCCCGCTCCCCTCGCAGCAACGTTAAACTTTCACCAAAGTATCGCTGTGCACCCCTTTTTTAATGGTCCGCTTCTCTCACACCCCTTCTTACCGAAAGCGACCCCTCTTGTCCTGCTTCCTCTGTTCCCAGTTAAACAACCTTGAAGAGCTGCAGGTGCCCTCGGTTACCTGTTGCTGAGAGGCCCCTGCCCTCTTATCGAGGGATGGGGGTAATTAAATCTGTTGTCGTGGTGTGGTCATACAGTGCTGGCTGTGGGAGGTGAAAAACCCGTGCGGCTGCGGGCAGGGAGCAAGGCAAGAGGGGGAAGGTTTGGGAAGGACAGCCGTGCCCGGGGTCGCTGCCCGAGCTCAGAGCGAAGCCCCCGGGCCAGGGAGAGCCAAACCCCGGGCAGGGCAGCAATCCTGTCATTAGGGACCACACGCACTAAGTGCCATCCTGCAACTACCTCTTAGAGAACGGCAGGGAATTATCATTATTCTTCTCGGGCAGGCATTTCCAATTTGGAGTTAATTGACGCGATTCTTCATTTGAGTAACGACCAAAGGAAAGCCGAGCTTTACCTGAGAAACTTTAAGAGGTTTTTCTTTCTCCCCTCCCCCTTTCTTTCTTTTTGATTTAAGACAGAAATGAGCTAATAGAACCTCTCTTTCTTGAAGGTGAAATTCATCTGGTCCTTCATCGGGAGCGGGAACAAGCCGCGCTCCCGGTACCGAGGCGGGACGCGGTCCAGGAGCGGTTCCGAGTTCAAAGCGGGCTGAACTCCCCCTGAACCAGTCCTGCCACTCCCAAATCCTGAGGGGGAAGAGCCCCCCTCGTCCCTCAAACCTCTGCCGTGAGCATCCCGCATGAGCGAAATGAGAGAATGGTGGGGAATGGCACAAACAGCTTAAAAACCTGAGGCTGGCGGCTGAGGAGCGTGAGGCAGAGCTGGAAAAGGCGTTTGCGTGAAACGCTGCCCTGGGAACGGGAGGAAAACTTGAGCGCAGCCTATGCCCTGAGTTAACTAAAGCCAATTACTTGTCTCCGTATAAAAGGTTTTGCGTATGGTTACAGCTGAGGAAATACGAGAAGCTGATGAGTCTGTTTTGCTTATGATTTAATCAAATAAATTAAAGGAGAAGAGTAAGGATACGCCCAATCTGCGACTTAAAAAAAAAAAAAAAAAAAAAAAAAGGGCATGACTTTTTTGGGACGCTCCCTGTGCAAAGCCTTTCCTCTTGTACAGAGCAAAGCGAGGCTTTCGGAATCCACTGATCTCATTACTGCTGGGTGTTTGGGGTTTCTCTTTTCTTCCCAATGGAGCAACCTTTCATAAACGATTGCAATTTCGGGGGGAAAAAGTGAGAAGGTGCCAAACCAAGCTGGGGGTGGGGCAGAATTTTGCGTTTCAAGCAATTTAGCAGACAGCAATTCTGCTTACAGCAGAGAGGTAGGTGGATACTTGAAAACATCTTCCACTGGAGTGTCCTACTTTGGCAATTCTAATTAAAACAAGGTTTAAAAGATGCAAAGAAAGAGCAAGCCTCTTGCTTTATTTCCAGTGGGCGTGGGGGATACCGTCAGGCACAAAGCGTTCTCCCAGCTTGTTCTAACGTGCACCTTTGTTTAAAAGGAAAAAAAAAAAATAATCAAGCTCGTCTTCTGATTTCAACTAATGTATTTTTAACTGGATTTCTTTCCTTTGCTTTGTGTGATCTGATACCTACAGTGTAGCCCTGGCCCACTTTCAGCCCTGCGGGTGCCCTGCATTGTGTGCGTGTCTGAAAGAAAAGCGAAAAGTCTTCCATCTCACACTCTTTTGCCCTGTACCTGTGCTTGGGAATTGAATCGTGTCCAAGCTAGTGGTCAGCAAAACCTGCACCCTATCCCCATTCTCGCTGCCTAACCCGAGAGGAGACGCGACTTTGTAGGTGCAGCCTGGCTGGCGTGGCTGTGACCGTCCAGCACCTCGGATCAATAAAGCAGCCAGTTTTCTGACGTTTCTTTTCCACGGCTGCTTATTGAAAAGGAGCCTTTACCGCCACCTATAAATAGCGTTGCATCCAAGTCAATTTTTTTTAAAAAATTTTTTTTCTCTCTACATAAAGTAGCAAAGTTCTAACCGAGATACCGCAAGTTCTCCTTGCTGCTCAGCGAGGGCTCGCCCCGGAGGGACTGCGCTGGGGGTCCTGGCTCCAAAGGCGGCTGCGCTGCCTCCTCCAAAGGGAGCGAGAGCTTCGGCGGAGCCAGCCCCAGACCCGCACCGGCCGCCTTTGAACTTTGTTCCCAGGAATAGGAGGGAGAGCAGCGAATACCGATACTCACCGTGCTCTTTGGCTTTCCTGATGTAACTCCGTCTCTCCCTCTTCTTTGTATATAAATGAGCAGAGGTTACATCCCGGGCACGCGGTATAATGCCCTGGATAACCCCGACCCTGTCTGTTAATTTAATGCTACGCTAACCTCAGAGTGTGTGATTGCAGCTCGAGTGTCGGGTTAGAAAAGCGACTCTCCACGCTGGAAACAAATTCGCTTTCTCTCTCTACACCCACCCCCTTTCCACGCGGAATCTCCCAGCCCTGCATTCCTGCACAAACCAGGACACCTACCTTTCCTAGAACCTACCAGCTTCCCTAGCACAGATTGCATATTTTGCCCGCTCTGAAAAAAAAACCTGTGCAATTCCCCAGCCCCACGTGCCGTGCCCTGCCTGCTGCGTGGGGCTTGGATTCACGCACTGTGCCACGCCGGGTCTACCACTGCCGGGAAAGCGCTGAGACCTCGCTAGGGGAGGGAAGGCGCTGCCTGTCGCCCCCCGTGCCCCTCACTGCCCCTTCGCTGGGGAAGGGGCGGCGGGGGCGAGGGGCCGGGGCTCTCTCTCTCTCTCTCTCCCCCCCAAAATGGCACATTCAGCCCGCGGGACTGGGCTGCTCTGCGGGCGCTTTCCACCTGCCTGCGCAGCGGGCTGGGAGCTGACGGACTGTCATTGCTGTACGCGGAGCGATCAAACCCCCTTATCCCCGCGTGATCTCTTGCTCTCTCTCTCTCTTTATTTATTTATTTTTAATTCCCTTTCCATTTCCCCAAATGAGGTTTGATGAATACAGCTCGTTGTCCGCGTTGATACCAGGGTAATAATTGTCAGGGGGGTCTGAGCGCTCCAGGAAAAAGAAAGCGGAGGAAGAGGGAGGGATACAACCTCTGCTATCTCGCTGTTACTAATTCCCAGCCGGCTCGGACTCAGGGGACAAGGCGATCGCTTAACAAACCCTCCTCCTCCTCCTCTCCCTTCACCACTCCTTCCTTCCTTCCTCTTCGCCGGCACATTTTCTCCCCCGCGTTTGTCCACGTTTCATTCCTCCTCTTCATGAGGAATAAATCGTGCAAACTCAAATTAAAAAAAAAAAAAAAAAAAAAGAAACAAAAAAAAAAAAAAAGGAAAAGTGGGTGGGAAAGATACAGGAGGGGAATAAAAAAATAAGAAAGGGGAGGGAGGAGGAAAAGGACAGAAAGTGTCTGTGCATGATCGCTGACCATCTGTGCAAAAGGTGATCATTGTTAGGTACTCACATGGCTGGTGGCAGAGCAGCTCTTAGCAATTAATAAGTCTCTCAGCTTGAGCTCTTCTTTCCCCTTTCGGATGGCAGCGCTCTCTGCGTGGCTCGCTCTCACTCGCGCACACACACACAAACCCGATCTGATGCTGCAGGACCGGCCACTTTGCGAGGGCAACAACACGGGAGGGTTTGTATTACTCCAGGTTCGTGTGTGTAGCCTATAAATAGCGAACTTTTTGATGGAATCAGCTAACAAATGAGAGGAGAAGGCGTAATTTTGCGCAGGGAGCCCCCCTTTCTCTTTGCAAGATTAAAACCCCCCAGGCAGCAGACAGAGCTAAAGTTGTGGGTGTGTAGAAAGGAATTTCACTTTATTGTGATAGTGCGCGAGATTTGTTTGTTTGTTTATTTTGGGGGTTGTTTTTATTCCTCCCCCCACCGCCACCCCCCACCAACCCATACGTTACATCCTCCTCCTGCCTTCCCAGCTAGGGACAGGAACTGCCCCGTGTTAGCACCGACTTTAACTCCAAGTTGGGACCACACAGCACATTTGAGATTTTTCTTTTGGTGGTGGTGCCTGTTGTTGGTTTGCTGCTTTTATTTTATTTTTTTTCCTTTTTTGGGGAGTTGTGGGGGGGAAGATGTCTACGCGATGCCGTGTGGAAGTGCAGGAGGCGGGCAGGCAGGCTTCCCTGAACGTGCCCTCATTTTGAAAGCGAGTGAAGAACAGAAAGAAAACAGGTCGGAATTATTGGGGGGGTGGGGGGAGGAGGGAAGAAGGCGGTACTTTGGTAGGGACGAAGTGTGTGACTGGGGCTTTGGGTCAGCCGAGGAGCGATGGCCCCACTCGAGAGAAAGCGCCTCCACACACGTGGCTGGGGGGGTTCCGCGGTGCGGTCCCCCCACACCGCTGTCCCGCCCGGCTCAGCGGAGCCTCGGGCACGCGTGGGCGCCGCGGGAACATCGTCCTTGCGGGCGCCCGGCCCTTCGCGGGTGGGCAGCGGGGCTGGCCCGACGGCTCGGGCCCCGGGGGAAAACCCCTGCTCCAGAGCCCACCTCGGCCTTCCTCGGGCAGCCCACGGACTCCTCGGGGCCGGCTCCTCCCTCCCGTGTTTTGTCGGAGGTCTGAGCGGTACCGGCACGTTCGGCGTCCCCCGGCAACGACAGCCCTGTCCCCCGAGGACATTGATTTGCGGGAAGCTTAAGGCTGGGCCCTGTCAGCAAAGGGGCTGCCGCTGATAAGTATCCCACCGCGGCAGCTATGAAGAGGTTTTCTCCCCTGACAGGTGCCTGACAGGGCTGGCCGGGAAGAACTGCTGACCTGTCTAAAGAAATATATCTGCGTCTCCCGGAATGGCAGGACAGATGGTGCCCGTTCGCACCGCGGCGACTTCTCTCGATGGCACACACCGAGCGGAGCTGATGAATGGTTTGTTTTTATGGCAGGGAGGTAGCGATGCTCTCGGACATCCCGTGGCAAAGGGCTTGCTGGGAAATGTCCGCTCCCGTACAGGCGCGGATGCCACCGGGAGGGCAGGGGGGCACCGGCACCGCTCCTGCCCCGTCCCCGCGTACATGACCTGCCGCAGGATCGCCGAGGCAAGGGGTTTTCGGCGTCCGTGCCAGAGCCGCGCCCCCAGCTCCCTCCAAACTGGTTCTAAAGGTCGCTCCCCGGTCGCCCCTCGGCGGAGCCCCGGCAGCGCCGGGCCGGGCTCACGCTGCCTTTGTGCCGCCCGCAGGAGCCCGTGTGAGGCAGCGCACGGGGGAGAGGCAGCGCACGGGGGAGAGGCAGCGCCCCCCGAGCCCGCTGGCTCCGAGCCGCTCTCCCTCCCGTGGCCCCGCTGGGGCAGTGCCCGGGCGCGGACACGCAGCGGCCGCACGGGCAGTCCCGGTCCCCTCGCCCCCCCGGCCCCGGTGCGGCTCCGCTGGCGGAGCGGCGACCCCGGCATCAGTCCCGTTCCCCGCAGCTCCCGAGTGACGCGCAGCCCGGCGCGCTGGTCCATCCGCGCACGTTTCCAATCTCATGGCTCATAAACTATTAGCGAAGGGATTTCATTATTCACCTTCCGTATCTGACAAAGGAGAAAGGGAAAAAAAAAAAATCCAAACCAACAAAACACGCGCTCCTGGTAACAGCAAGAGCGGGCCGGGTTTATACCCCAGCACCTCGCAGGCTCGGGGCTCAGGTCTGGCGGCCGCGGGGGCTCCGCCGAGTTCCTCCCGGCGGCGCTGAGCTCCGGCCGCGGCTGCTTGTCCCGGAGGGACTGCGGAGGTCATCCTCGGCCGAGGGCAAAGCAAAGCAAAGCAAAGCCGTGAACTGCGTTTTACCGGCCGCGGAGAAAATATTCCAGGAGAAACAATAAAATCTCGGGGATTAAAAGGGGTGGGGGGAGAGCAATCTGCTCGTTTTCCTTGTTTTTCTCTTTCCTCTTGTTCCGCAATAAATAACACTGGGAGTTATTTAGCTCTCCACTGGAATGTGACAGATCGCACTCCGGGGCGTGCAGCACAAGCGCTCCGCGGAGCCAGGGCCGGGGACCGGGGACCGGCGGAGCGCGGTGGGAGCGGCCGGGCGGGGGATGCGCGGCGGCGGCACCGGCACCGGCACCGACACCGGCACCGACACCGACACCAGGCCTGCGAGGGGCCGGGGTCAGGCCGAGCTGCAGGCGGGGCAGCCAGCGGCAGGGCGCCTATAGAAACATAGGACGCGATCCAGGGAAAGTTACTGACAGCCTGGATGACTCGAATACAAATGTTAATACAGCTAACTTTGTTTCTTTCTTCCCCCCCCACCCCCTTCCTTTCATGACTTTCTTTTTTTTTCTTTATCCTTTAAGAAATAGACGGCGAAGAAGTTTAGAGCACGAGGTAATTATAAAAACCAATATAGAGATTTTGAAAGAGAGACCCACTTCACAATTTTATACCGAGGAGCAAAATATTCTGGCGAAGTCTGGGGTCATCACCTACAACAGCGCAATGTTCCCTCCCTGTTTAATATACATGGTGTGGGAAATGGAGGGAAAACATAGCGAGCACCTGTAGTGCCAAAGGAAAAAAAATATATTACTACATCATATTTTGGGGCTATTTTACAGGACATTCTTCAAAAATAGACTCATATTTAATTATAGTTCTAACGATTTTCTCTGTGCGACTGCTAGTTAACAGAGAGGAGGAAATGGGGTTTCTATCGAGATTTTGCATTTGGTATCTTTAAAAAAATAGTAATTTTCCTGTGTGTTAATAGCTCATCTGGGACTACAAGCGACCAACCTGGACCAACTTTTAATTAACACAGTGACCCGCCGAAGAACCAAAACTCCCTTTAAAAAAAAAAAAAGTACATATATATATATGTGTATATATATGTATATATATATGTATGTATACATATATACATATATATATATATATATATATGTGTGTGTGTATATATATATATATATATGTGTGTGTGTATATAAAACCCCAGGGCTCTCCTTGCCCTTTTTGTAGGGAGGAGGTGATTTTCCAAAGGCGCCAGGAGATGCGCAAGTTCAGCACCGCCCGCCTCCCCTCTCCGGGCCGCCGCCGGCCGCGCAGCCCCGGGAAGGGGGGTAGGCGGTCGAAGCGGGCGGGGCATTATGACCGGAGCCCCTGAGCAGCGTATACGAGAAAAAGGCCGTGGCAGAAAGGCGGAGGGTTTGGGCTGTACGGGAGGTGTGATACAAACACCAGTGAGAGGTGAACACGAGCTCACGCGTGGGTGCTACAAGCTCCAGAGCCTGTTCGGCTGTTCGGCAGCTCCCCCACATGAAGCACAAAGAGAGGTCAGCAGCCTGAAAGATAAACTCCTTTTCTTTCTGCTGTTGCCTCGTTAATGCACGCTTTGTATTATTTTTTTCCCTCCATGGTTAAATTAAATGTGGTTTTAAAATTATTATTTTTGTTTCTATTCACATGCATATTTCAGGCAGGCTGGATGCCTGACGCGGCACTCACCCCCCAAAACTGGCACTGGAGTACGTTACTGCTGAGTTACACTTTAACTTCTCTGCAGGTAATAATTAAAGACCTTCTTTCTAAATCTCATTCCCCCACAGAACCACCAAGGCTCTCTTTCGCAATACATTATATTGATCACACACCCGGGCACGCTCTCCTCCGAGCCGCCGTCTGTGAGCTGCTCTCAATTCCATGCACACTTTTCCCAGATCTTCTCCCATATTTTTCCCATCCTTTATTTAGAGATGCATTTCTGTGAACGCTCCCAAATCCCCCCAAGAGAAGCTCCATGTGCAAAGGGGACAGCCAGTCACTCAGATGCACATCTGCAGGCTTTGGCCATAAGACTGAATTTTGTCCCACAGAGTCATTGTGAGTTTAAAAATAAGAGATATAGAGGCAACAAAGTCATCTAACATCAGTAATGGAGTATCTCCATCTAGGGAAAAGAACTCCAACTTCTTTTTAGTGGTGACACTTTCCAAACAAAACCTTCAAGACTTGTCCTAACAGCTGTGCTGAAAGTTTTAGGGGCTCTGAGTTACTTGAGATCACAAATTAATCTGCCAGAAGTGTGGCACACACCTGATATCAACAGAGGGTCAAGAGCTGGCCAGTTCCAGCTGGTCCCGCATTTGATTTACTTCAGGCTGTTAAGATGTATGCTGTGGTGTTTTGATAAGAAAAAAGGAGTCAGCAGTTTCATTTGGCAATTCTTTCCTTTCTTTTTTTTTTTTTTTTTTTTTTTTTTCCCTCTGAAGAGGGCCGCAGTTTAAGCTGAGGAATTTGTTGTTGCTGGTGGGATGGTTTTTAGTGGAGGTTTTTGGTCTGCATGGGGCGATCTCATCACATACTGTTAACACTTAATTGCGTTTCTTACTATCCCAAGTAAGCCAGACTGTGGCATGAACTTTTATGCAGCTTGTCTGTCTCAGGCCTCCAGCATCTCTGGCCAGTGCCTTTGTTGGGGTTCACCCCAGCCAGAGAGCTTGGAGCAACAGCAAAGGTAGTGACCATCACCCAGTGGGTCACATCAACAACCTGCTTAGTCTTGGTGGAGTCCTACTACAGCTTTTCACTCACACCTCTCTCTTCCACAGGGCCTTGTCCCTGAGTTTCATCAGACACCACTGAAATACTTCAATTTTGGGTTTTTTATACTGCACTGATGTACTCATACAAGCTGAGTGTGGGAGGCTGCTTGCTCTTAGCTGAATTAAACTATTATTTGAAGATATCTCCTGCACCTGCTGTGGCTTCTCTTGCAGCCCCCAAAACTTTAGATCACAGAGAGTTAAATCACAGTAATTATGCCAGGGATGTTATCTTAGATGTGCATGTCTGCACAGTGTAAAGGACACCTGCAATACTCCAGACTAGAGGACCATTGCACAAATTACATCCCTCAGAGGTGGCACCAATGGGTGCATAAATAAGGAAATAAGGAGCAGACCAGGAATTTATTTTTTATTCTGTCCCTGATTTTTCCTTTCCTTTCCTCTTATTTTAATTTCTCTGCCTCTAAAATAGGGAAGTAAGAGTCACTGACCCTATTGCCTTTCCATGAGGCAATTGGTGTTCGAAAAAAACCCAGAAATCCTCAGAGGACGTAATCTGTGCTAATGTATATTCTAAGGTAGATGTGCTGCCATTCCCTATATTGGGGTTGGCAAACATTTCTCAGCAGAGACTACATTTTCTGCTGCATGTAGCTTTAGAAAAAACATCATCACTTAGGCTGAAAACTGATATGCTGACTGTCTGTACTGGGCGGATTATTTTGAAAATACCTGCCAAAACAATTTGTCCATTTCTAAGAACAAGGTTATGGAAAAATAAACAGTTTTGCTCATACTAAAATGGAAACTTTTTTTCCTTTGAAATACTCTGCTGCCCTCAGGCTTTGAAGCGCAGCCTCAAAATGTGACCTTTTTTACTTAAAGTGTGCTTTTCCCACTCTGTCTGAAAATTTATCTAATTGTGTCTAACTTGCAAATATTGGAAATTCTGTCATGAACAGACGGCCAGCAATGATTTCTTTTATTCTAACAGGGAAAAGGCATTGCTAAAGGTTGGCCCTCTCTGCAAACAGAAGCTTAAGGACACAGTGGTGAGGCTAGATTTCCACTTTAATCCCCACATACAAGTTTTCCCCGTGAGCCTGAGCTTTGGCAGAATCTGAGAAGTAGGAATCCTATCTCTCCTGAGCTCCAAGTGATTTGAAAGTTGTGTCAGGAAGAAAGGTCTCCATGTGAATACAACACAGAGGGAAAAAAAAAACCATCCAGCCTGTGACAGAGGATACAGAAGCAGCCAAGCCAGCCAGAGAGAAAAGCTGGGGCTGGTGTTGGAGGCAGGAGCCTGGCACTGATTAGGTAAGGAGACACAGAGGTTGTGCAGAGAGAGCAGAGAGAAACTTCTATTCAGGAGCCTGGAGGGCAGATAGGAGGGCAAGGCTGGAAAAACCAACTAATGCTGTCAGCCAAGAGCAAGGATGCTTAATTGCAGGATGTCCAGAGTAGCTGGGCTGAATTTAATTTGAAGCATGGTAGAAATTCTGAAAGTCAAAATGTGGAGTTTTTTCCCACTATTTATAGCCGATGCAGTTTAGACACATAATTAATGCTTTTTATTTGGAATAGAGTCTGCTTTGTAATGCTGAAAACAACTGACCTTCAGGAGAAGTGTTCTTGAGATGATTCAAAACATATCTTAATTTGTGTGTGTGCGACCACTGGACTAAGGATATGTGTTATATATTCAACACTAGCCAGCATGTTAAAGAAATCACTTACCTGAGGGTTTCAGAGCACCTCCCCTCCATTCAGCTTCCATGCATTAGGATACATGACCACAAAGATTATATTCCACAAAGTTCCTGGAGCAGAAACTAAACCCTGCAAGGTACCTTTCCTCTGGGAACAGATCAGTACTTTGTAGGTTTTATTCACTGGATTCCTGTCTAATTTGTCACAGAGCTGGCTACAGCTCGTGTACAAGGTAGAGAATTACAAGCAGGGAAAGCAGGACTTGGTGGCAGAACCATTGCTGAATTTTACCTGCTGAGTTTGCTGCCATTCCCTTCCACCTCAGAGATTCTACAGTGTGGGGAAATTTGCCTCAAGAGGCAATAATTAGTTGAGATTTTCATATGACAAGGGCCCATCTTGAAATTTTGGAGTCTGGTGGACTGAAGTGAATCACTCACTTTGCATGGACTAGGCCAAGCAATGCAGAATGCCAAACAGGTTGGAAAATCAAGTACATAATGTCTCTAATTGGATACCCAAAATTAGCAGGCATTTTCTACTTTAATCTCATTTGTTTGGAACAGAGATTTATAAAAAGGATAGGATGATATAATCCCTTCAGTTTCAGGCTGTAAAAAAGAAGCACACAGATGCTATAGTGTGGTGGGGAGAGGAAGAGGAAAAGAACAAGATTAGGATTTATGAGCCCAGACATGGCTCCATGTAGGTAAATTTAACACTGAAGTACCTCCTGAAGAAAGCTTTGCCCATGCCCTACTCTGCAAGCCAAAGGGGTGCTTGTAAAGAGGATCAAGCAGAAAATTGTCAAATTGTGTTCATATCTCATTGCATAAAAGCAGATGAAACAAAGGCTTTGTAAAGTTATTTGTGAAAAGCAGGAAGGAGAGGGAGGAAAAAAGGCAGAACAAGTCCAGGGTCCCAGAGACCATGGAAATAAGGTACTGACCCAGAAGAGACTAAAAGCACATCTGTACCAGTGAAAGTGCTTGTATCTGGGGACTCTATACATC